TCACTTCAATGGAAGAGTTGCCTCGTCTCCTCTGCACAGCTCAGCATGCTCCACATCTTCAAAGCCACCGTGCCGCTGTACGCAGTCCTGACGATTTTGTGGTCAGTTGTTGCCGCTCTCTGCCGCTCCGCTACTTACTCTCCGTTCACATCGCTTCAATTGTACGCTTCGGCCAATCCCTTGAGGAGTGGTACCCATTTGACTACCAATTCGTGATTCAAGAGTCCTTTCAGGAACAGGAGGCAGAACTGCAACATAATGCTACGAATTCAACCCAGAAATATTAGAAAGTGACATTGTAGTACTACCCACTGCCGTTCCCCTTACAATCGTTGTTGCTTCATTTTCATTGCACAACCAGTAAACACTTCCGCCTCCCCTTCAATCGGGTTCCTTGGCACGCGTGAGTCCGTCCAAGCCTTTTGACTACAAATTCCTACGTTACTAAATATGCTACAAACATTGTGCGATCCTCTGCTTCGACACTGAGATGCTGCACAAATCGAAGGCAGCTCTTCCTATAAAGCACGCATTGAGGCCTTCCTTGTCGATTTCAGCCTCTCTCTCCCTCTCCTTCTACGCCGTCCAATGCTGCGTGCATTTTATTCATTAACTTCACAACTACCCATCCACTAGACATCCACTTCCAATGGGTGAAGGGGAGGAGCAGCGTACTCCAAAGCAAAGCACTCAGTCAAGACCAGCAGGAAGTAAGCACTGGATGTTATTAGTGTGCTACATAGGTCAGCATGTAGGAAAGTCATGTAGAAGTCTGAGTCTTCGAGTTGTCAGTGAAATGATGCCGACAGTAAGTGCTTTGCATCGCCAAGATGGAGTGGCAGAAAGAGCTCACCATGTTGAGATGCAATCGCAACAAGTAGAGAGAGTGAGTGAGGTTACGCAGTTGGTGGTGCCTTCTCACTCCCATGGATGCAGTGTAATGAGGTGCAGAGGGAAAAAATGGAGACAATGCAAAGGATGGTGCGATCCTGGTCGGTGGTACACAATTGGGGCGTTGAGAATTTTGATGAAGTTGTGCTTCACCAGTGCTTCCATCCCACGGCTCATGAGGCGATGTTACTGGTGCAAGTCAGTAGTATGGAATCACCATCCAAAATGACATACGCTCACCCACTGAAGCACAAGATGTGTGCCACTGTGTTCGCGAGTTGTGCACCCAACAATTGGCTTATAATTCTTCCACAATTTGTGCAGATGACTAGTCTGTAGTGCCCTACGGCAGAGCAATTCCGACCTGTGCGTAAGGTGTGAAGAGGAAAATGCTTGTGTTGATGGAGGGAGTTAAAATGGTTCCGTTTCACTCAATCAACTATTGAAGATGAAAACAGCTAGCACTTTTGCTGACTTTTCGACTTTTATTTAAAGGGAGAAACAAGGACAATTGAAGTGAGGCACAACACACTACACCTGCAGTCTACAGCAAGTTGGTTGGAGGAATGTGTAAGATGCTTGTAATTACTCCGATCCCCGTCATTCTTCTTTTCTTACTACTTTAGTTGACAATAACTCGACTTCCATCAAAATGCATTGACAGTGTTGCAATACGTTGACGCGAGATGGCATGCAAGCAACCACTGAGACAGAAGAAGGAGTGTTACAGTGAGCTGCAGACGTGTGTGGATGCAGTTGACTGTGGTTTATAGTGATGCTGCAAAAATAAGTGTATCGGCAATCTATTGCATCACTGTGACGCATGGTTCGATGGCGGTCCCATCCACATTCTCGGTCACAGCTAGCAGACTCCCCGAACACCTTACGAACAATACGAAGGGCCGTCAGTGCTAATATTCGTTGATAGTAGCCTCCGTTTAACTGCCATGTAATTCTCTTGGTTGTTGAGACTAGAAATTGCACTGTTATGGAGGCAGTACTAGCTCTACCGACGGCACAGCGGGTTGCCGCTTTCTTCAAGGAATACGATTACTTACGATTTGCCCACCTATACAGCTCTTTGGGACAGAACGCCACCTTCCACTATTCAAGACACTAAACGACTGGGTGCGCTCTATCCATGGAAGAAATCGTACGGCATCTTTGGGCTAACTTAAGCAAGGTACACACGATTTCAACCATGCATTGTTCAAATAAACGCAGACTTTTGCCCTCGCAACTTGGCGGCAGCACTGCGCATTCAACAAAAAAATTTGTGACGGAGCGGCGATGGAGCGCCAAAGCTTCGAGGGAAATGAAGAGGGCGTTGCGAAACACAAGCGCTTCAATTCACTGTAAGGGAATTTAATCAGACTCAACTTTGCCAACTTGATATGCAATCTTGAAATGCCGGTATTTGAATGCATCTCCGCTGCTGAGTTCGATTCTCGCGAAATACTTGAATTGCCTTCCTCCGCTGCTACAGTAGGTCGATACCTCGCGTTGCATGTAAGTTGGCCTCTCTTGTCTCTCCTCCTCAATGCCGAAGGCTCTGTGAAGTGCAAAGTAGTGGGTAGTAAGTAGGTCTTCCACTTGGATACTTCTCGTAACGCTCACGACTTTATATGGATGTGTTGGGCTGCAGTTAGTGAGGTGTGCAAATGCTGTGCAACTCCTCCCTCCTCCCATTCCACAGTTGCTGTGTTGTCAAGCCCACATGCAAGTAGTGAAGTGGGAATGGGAGCGGGAAACCTCGAGCGGTAGTCTCTTTTGGGAAGGTTTCGGACCACCATAACGTGGAGCGATGATAGTTGCAGATGATGCAGTTTCCATCACTCATTGGCAATGTCTATCTGTAACAGACGGTCGACACCTTCCAGTCCTTGATCTTCATCAATTTCCTGACTGCCTCCGCTTCACCCCAATCAATGTTAGGAACCCTACGCAGGGTCGGATGTGTGCGCAGCCATTCCGCTCGCGAACCTCCTTTCTGTCGAATCTGCTACGGATCGAACATCGGTGCGAATGACGGGCAGTTGGAGTCTGACGGACGGCTGATTGCGCCATGTCTGTGCGACGGCACCATGAAATATGT